GAAAACGGCCTGGGACCGAAACCGGCGGACCTGGACCCGCAAACATGACGGCCGCGACGCCCCCTCGCGAACCGAGAACGGCCAATTCGCCAATCGACGTGTCAGGGTAGGAGGCCCGTCCACCCCCCGATCCTAGGCGCTCGCGGACTCGAGGAAGCCCTGCGCCGCCGCAGGCTCTGGGAAGGCGAGGGGCCTGTATCTGCGGCGCCCCTTCCTTCGGGGGCGGCAAAGAGGGGGGCGTCCAAGAGGGGGGGGTGCAAATCATGACCGGCGACACGTGCGCGGCCCAGCGGGGGGGCCAGGGACGTAGTGAAATAAGAAGAGGCGCCATGAAATCTGCGGAAATGTCATGGCCCCCGCCATGCTATCCCCCCCCCCCCTAGTCATCACCCCCTTCTTTTCCGCCCCCAATTCCTGGGCCCCGCGGCACCGCGGCGCACCACGGCGCCCTCCGGGCCACCCTCGCCGAGGGAGCCGCTCGCCGCCGCCTGGGGCGTCGCGCCCGCCCAGCCATTTGGCAGCCCGCCGACCCCGTCGACGCCAGCCGTGGAGAGGCCATGGATAGGGGAACAAAAAGCGGCATAAGCATAAAAACTCGGAGGTATGCGCGGATTTCTCGGATCGGCGCTGGGCCCCCCTCCCTGGCGCGCGGAGCGCGCCAGGGGCGGCGCCGGAGGCGCCGCCGGGGGGCCCCCGCGCCGATCCGAGAAATCCGCGCGGACCTCCGAGTTTTCGTATTTATGCCGCTTTTTGTTCCCCTAATGGGCTCCTGCGTCGGTCCCCACCGCCGTGGCGACCGTCTCCGCGCGGCTGCCGCCGACGGGCTTCTCCGGGCCAACGCAGCGGCTCGGCCCCGCCGTCGGGGCCACGTCATCGGGGCCACAGCCGATGGCGGGCGTCATCGGGCCGACGTCGTTGATCGGCCCAGCCGTCGCGGCGACCGTCTCCAGGCCACTGCCGCTGACGCGCTTCTTCGGCCCAACGCCTCTGCTCGGCGCCGCGCTGCCTTGGCCCTGCTCACGCAAGAGTTTGCCGTTCAAGAGCTCGGTCACCGACTTCGTCGCCGCATGGCTGCCGCGCGCCTCGAGCGATCGGCCCACCTGCGCAAGACGCCTGCGCAGCTGCGCGATGCTCGGGCCCCCGTCCCCGTGGCACCCCTTGCCGCTGCTGGCTCGCTCGCGCTCCGCCGCCTCCCAGAGCTGCAGGGCTCCTGCCGGATCCTTCTCCCAAGGCAGCGCGAGCTCAGCCTCCGTCGGCGGCACCCGCTCCGCCGCGCCGCAGGCCTCAATCCTCGGCTGGCCGCCACTCTTTGAGGAAGAGACAGCGAAGAAGCCCTTCTGCTCCTGGAAGAAGGCCTTCCCGAGAACGATCCCGTGGCGGGACGCCAGGCCGCGGAGCTCTGGCCGGAGGCGTGCACGGCGGAGCACCTCGTCCAGGGGCACCTTCGCCAGCCCGGTCTCCCGAGCCGCTCCCGACACGATGCCGTGCAGCGCCTCGCTCAGGGCCTCGAGCGCCCCGTCTCGCTCGGAGCAGTCCTCGGATCGCCGAGCACCGCGGACCCGCGCCTCCGCCTGGGCCCAGGCCTGGCGGGCCCTCTGGCGGAGCTCCGCGTGCACCGGGTCGGCGGGAGCGGCGTGCGCCCTGTGCTCACCCATGAGGTCGCCCGCGACCAGGAGGGAGAAGAAGGCGTCGTCCGCGGCGTACTGCCTCTGAGCCTCGCTGAGCACCCTGGCCTCCCAGTTCGACGTGCTGACGCTCTTCTCCTTCTTCACGTGGTGCCCGCAGCGGAGTGCGAGGCGCTTCAGCCCCCTCCCCGTGGCCCCACAATCCGCGGCCATGGAGCTGATGTCCAAGAAACCCACCGCCGCGGGGTCGCCCTCGATGCGAATTCCGAAGGACCTTGCAAGCTTCGCCCGGTCGGCGCCGTCGAAGTCCACCACGACCTTCACAACGCGGGGGTCCAGGAAGATGCTGCGCACGAACTCCGGCAGCGAGATCTGACAAGTCCGCACGAGCCAGACCACGCTGCCCACAGCGAGCTGCACGAGGGCGACCTCATGATCGTGTTGCTTGCAACGATCTGGTGCCCACTCCATGTCGAGCCCAACTATGCAGCCGCTCTCCTGGAGGGCCTCTGCGAAGTCGCTCTCGGCCGCGAGACGATCTGCCGCCGAGACGCTGCCGTCCAGCACCCGGACGGGGCCGCCGTGCCGGTGCAGCACGTGGACGGTTTCCTCCTCGGCTGCATCGGTAGGGGGCCACATGCGAACCCTACCCCTACCTCCCACGATTTCTGAGGGGGGGGGTCACTTCGCTCGGGAGCTCCCGAACGAAGTGAACCCCACCCTCCCCCTCAGAAATCGTGGGGGGTAGGAGTAGGGTTCGCATGTGGCCCCCTAATCGGTGTGCTGGTCGATGGCGGCAGCTGCCATGGGCCTCCCCTGGCCGCGCGGAGCCGGTCCTGCGGCACGGCGGCGGGCTGCGTGTGCGGCGGCGGGGTGGAGCGACAGACTTCGCCTTCGAGCCACAGCCTCCGCACTGTTTCGTGGGGGCGTGGGGGCTGGCAGAGGGGGCCGCGGGGGACAGTCCTCACAGCGCCTCGCCTCCCCCTTGAACCCTCCTGCAGAACGAGTCCGACCCAAAGAGCAGGGTTTTGCCGCTCGTTCTCGGGGGTACGTTGTGCCTGGGCCTCCAGAGTAGGCCGTCGGCCCTACTCCAGAGCGACCCTTCTCCACGTTTGTTCTATTAGCTTTCAGTACTGTGCTATGAAGAGAGGAGAGCAAGGGAAGGCCTGGGCAGGGCGAGGGGGAGGGAGGGGAGGTGGAGGGCACGGGGTCATGGTGGGATGTCGCACTCCGGAAGCCAGGCCTGGGCCTCAGATCTCTGGGTGCAGTCAAAAGCTGCCACCATGAAGAAAGCTAGAACTTAGGGAGCGGGGCCCCTTTGCGGCTCCAGAAAGCGCTGGGTCCACGAGGAGCGCGGCAGGAAAAAGGCATGGAAGGACCTGGGGAGCAGCGAGCCGCTTCCAAGCCCAAACCGCTCCACCTCCTCCTCCTCCTCCTCCTCCTCCTCCGCCCTCCTCCTCCTCCTCCTCCTCCTCCTCCTCCTCCTCCTCCGCCCTCCTCCTCCTCCTCTGCCCTCCTCCTCCTTCTCCTCCTCCTCCTTCCTTGTTTCAGCGTCTCGACTGTAGGGCACTGTCCCCCCACCGTGCTTTGCAGCAGCAGGCGTGGCTCGGCCCATTTTGATGCAACAGTCGTGTCTTCCAGAGCCCGAGGAACGTCCAAAGACGTGCCCTGAAAACTCCCGAGGCGTCTTCCAGCATTCCCAGAGTCTTCGGAATGCTCCGGGAACTCCCCAACGACGCTAAGTACGATGCCCTGAGAAACTCAAGATAGACCCACAAGGCTCCCCGAACAGCCGCCGAGGCGTCGATCGAAACGTGTCTCGCCTTTCGTAATCGTTCAACACGCCGAATTTCTCAGCGGGCTTCTACGGCCAATACAATCACAGCACGAGTGCCTTCTTATCTCCAAGCAGCCACCAGGAGCCGCCTGCCCAGGACAGGGGGAAAGGTAATCACAAAAAGTGCATCCTAGGACGTAATTTCCTGATGAAAGTCAGTGTTCGGAAGATTCTGCGAGGTCTGTGCTCACAGGAGTCGCCAAGACGGCCCGCACATGGCACATGACGGCTCCGAGCGGCGCGGCGCGTAAAGCAAACGTTGGTTCCGCCAAGTGTTTGGATAGTACTACTACAGCTACGGACCTGAGAATTCGACAGGCCGACACGCCATAACCTACTACAGGTGCACAAAAATACTGGAGTTGTGTAGCTTGCCTCCTGCTTGAGTTAAGCTCACGAAACCAGTATCATCTGGAAAAATGCATCCCGACGACGACCGCAGCCCAGGCTGGGCCCAACAGGCCTCAGGGCAGCACCGGGGCGGCCCCAACACCTCGCGGCGCTCCGCGCCCCGGGGGGGGGCCTCCATGGAAGGGGCCCCAGGACACACAAATAAATGCACACAAATAAAAGGATTCCCAATATTTTCCCATATTTTCTGGGTTCTTGTCTTCCCCCCACTTCCCATATTTTCCAATCTTTTCCTGAGAGTCGATGATTAATTGTGTCTGTGTGTTTCTTTCCCTCCTGATCCATGGGGGAAGACAGTTCCGACACCTGGTGGAGGGGGGCGGGGTTTTGGCCCAGGCAACGAGCGCTGGCCGGGGAGAAACCAGAAACATGATCACCCTCTCGTGCCTGGCGCGGCGCCCCTGCGCCCACGCGCGCTGCGCCCACACGCCCCGTCCCGTGCCGACCGAGAGCGCCCTGGACCTCCATGGGGGAAGACAACTCCGATGCCGCTGTACCCTTCCGTCCGAGAACCCTTCGTGTCGTGACAGAGATCAAGACGGACATGTTTTCCCGTGTCCGGGTTCTGCGGGCCCTCACCGGGCCCCAAGACCGCCCACAACGATTCGGGGTGAAGAGCTGGCTCCAGGGAGTGGGCCGAGACCACCTGGGGTGCGCGGCGTGACAGGAAAACATGGCGTCGGGGATAACTATGGGCTCGTTGCCACCGCTGGATTCTCACCTCGAAGTCCTGCTCAGAATGCCGGCGAAAGGCCCAGGGAGCAGCGGCATCAATGTCTGTTCAGTCCCCCTGCGGGCAATACTTCTGTCTATATCCACTGCAGTATGGAGTTTCGGGCTCCCTTCCCAAGAAACCCGAGGCGCACTGGATATGGATAAATTTGCCCCCTAGAGGCTCGATTTTTATCCATATCCAGTGCGCCTCGGCCTTGTGGCGCCGCTTCCAAAAAAGTCCAAGAGGGACTGGATATGGATATGAGTCTTGCACGCATCTCCCAAGGGTAGCCTGGAGCCCTTGTGGACGAGTTGAGGCCCGGCTGGGCTACATCCGTGGGCCTCTGCGCGCAGTATCGAAGCCTGCCAGCTGGTGCCCCGTTCCACCTCCCCGTCCCCCCCCCCCCTGGGTCCTGCAACACCCTGACCTGCCGAGTGAACTTCTGCAGCATGACGTTCCGCCCTCTGCTGTCGCTGATGCGCTTGTACACCTGCGGGGGACATCCAGAAGCGGAGAGGAAACATGAGGAGAGTAGCAGCAGGATCGACGGTAACTGCGCAGCCTGTCTCCGAATAGCCTGGCAATATACAGCGTACTTGGCAGCGGAGAGGGCGGCTTGCGCCTAATTTGCGTTCGGTGCGGTGCCGTGCACCAGCGTCGTTCTGACCTGGTGGTTCATACGGAACGCTGAAACACCGAGACTCCTGGTGTCTTTGCGGCTGCTTGCGCATTCGGCGCAGTTGTATTCGTGGTCGGCGCCACGGCCGAATAGTCTTCGAGGAGAAGCGGGGAGGCGGAGGGGCGCACGGAGGACGGGGCAAGAGGGGTGGTGGGAGATCGAGGCTCGTTCGGACACCCGAATGGACATGGCACGACGCCGCATGCGTGAATGTGGTAGGCCTCCTGCCCTCGACTGGCGCAGTGCCGATTGCGAGGCCGGGCTTTTGTCCGTCCAGCGATCGCGCACAGTTCCCACGATGCTTGGGAGGATACCCCACGAAGTGGGCCGCTTCGAAATCGAGATTGACAAATTGTTGAGGTAGAAGGAGGCTCGGAGGAACAAGGAATGAACACGTTGGATTTGGGGTTTGCGGGCAGTGCTGGCTGCGTCCTGCAACTGGATGCGTCCAGCAGCTTGTCCGTCCATCCACGCGCGCTTACTGATGCCTCTCTGGGGAGGCTGGATGAAACGGGCTTGCAAGCGCCGGGTGATTTTCTGCGCTTGTTGCCAGCAGCAGGCGCTCCATTCCTCGCGCGCCCATGCACTCAGGGGGCGCGACCAGATCACCGCTTTGCTCCATTCGGCGAGGTGGTCCCCCCAACATTGAAGAGCGTGATACGCTGCGCACCAAAGACTAACTGCCCCGAACCCAGTGCAAGAGCAGATCTGGCGATGCGAAACCGTTGGCACCAGACGAGAACGAATCTTCCTTCCTGAATGCGCTTTGGCAGGAGGCGCGAAATCTTGTGCGGCGCATGTTGTTCCCTGAGCAGCGCCCGACGACCCATCGGGAAGAACTGCACAAGGTAGCTGCACTTAGACAGCGCCGTGCTATTGCACAAGAGCAAAATGATGACGTTGGGGCACTTTGCGCGAGAAATCTCGAACGACCGCTGCCACCACGTCGATGCCGCCTCGGCCCATGCGGGCCCCTCCGGTGCGCCTGGGCCAAACTGCGCTGCCCGGTGCTTGACATTGGAAGTATCTTCACATCGGACCACCGGGGAGTGACTGCCTGAAGACACGAGCGAGTCCTGGCGGTGAGCTGCGGCGTGAAAATCGGCGCAGAGGGGGGCGATGGCAGTTGTGGCTGTCTGCAAGCGGAGTTCGGATAGATCCTCTGCCTTCTGCGCGACAAGGCAGAATCTCGTAAACACTTGCGACCTAAATCGGGCAATTCCCGCATCGCCCGCGCGCCCGCCCACCTCGCCGCGAAACTCCCCGAGCCGCGAATCCGCTGCTCGCTCGACCAGGCGCCATAAACTTGGGTCGTCGGCCAGAGCCCATGCCGAACCTTCAAGGGTGCATCATTGCAGTACTCCTGCTTGGAGGAAACAACAAGGACGGCTGCGAGCCCGCGGCTGAAGCAAAGCAACTGGGACCAAAGCTCAGGGCAGCAACAAAGTTGCGATATCCGCCACGCAAGCCGGCGTGATCCTACGCGGCCCAGGGCCAAACAGGCCTGAGGCTCGGGAACGGTAGCGGTGCATGCCAGTCAAAAGCTACAACGCCGGGCGCGGTAGCTTCGGCGTTCTCGCGCATGCCAGCGCGTCGCGCTGCTGTGTCCAGGACTCCGGGGCATAATGTTGCCAGGCAGGTGTCCACCAAGCGCACGCCCCTGCGGCGTCTTGCGCGTCCGCTCCTGGCCAGGCGCTCTTATCATTCTCGGCAGCAGGGGCCAAAATCTCGGAGTCCGAACTGCCGAGCGAGAGTGGTCCGATTTGAGGGGGCGGGGCCCTTCGCGGGTGAAGCGCGGACAACGAGTCGTTCGAATCCTCGGGGGCATGGCCTGCAGAGGACAGGTGAGGGGAGATCCCGTGGAGCACTTGGATTGAAGGAGGCCATCCACGCCTTGTAGGGGAACGTGTCGGGGCCTCGGGAGGAGCGCCGCGCGCGTTTGCGGGCCCGGGCGAGGTCCTCGACGATCGGGGCTGCAAGGTCTGCCCTTGCCTGGCGCGGGCGCACCAAGTCAAGGCAGGCCTCGATGGCGGACTTGCCCGACAGGGAATGCTGGAAAACCTGTTCCCAAAAGTCGCGGGTGCCTTTGTTGATCTCCCCGGTGCCCCTCGAGACGTTCGCAGGGACCCCCATCCAGAGCGCGCGCTGGACCAATCCCAGCCGGGGCCATTCTTCGGCCTCTGGGTTGACTGGAATCGGCGGTGCACGGGCTTGATACTGCGAAGATGACCCACGGCCGCGCGTTGACACCCGGCGCGAATCGCAGTCTGTGCAACCTGTGCAGCACGCAGGTGTCGAGTTTCCAATCCGGAAACGCGCAAAGGTCAAAAGAGTCGGCGACGTGCATCTGCGGCCCCCAGCACGACGCTACCTGCTTCTGCGGAGAGGTACTTGTTGACGTCGTCCTTCGTCGCCTTGCCGCGCGCGAAATACTGCGCGACGCGGCGATTCGTCCTCCGCTGGCAAGCGCATCATGTTTACGAGTTGGGAGACGAAGACAATCGTCGCGAATTTGTCGGGCAGCATCCGCCATCGCGCCCTCCGTGTACTTCCCTCGGGGCGCTGGTGAAAATATGCCCAGCCCTGTCGCTGCAAGAAGTCCAGCAAGTATGGTGTGTCGCCTCTCGCCCGTGAAAACCGCACCTGGGGCCCTATGGTCCGTGGCATTGGTGAGATCTTGTTGCGAATCGAGAAATGAGGGGTCGCGTCGTCGCTGATGCTGGAATGCGATATCTCGGCAGGGTCGGAGGTGAACGAGACGTGGATGTCCGTGCCCATGAGGATTCGGGGGCGCCAGTGAAGGCCTCGTCAATGACCGACGCAACGCTGCCTGCTGAAGTCGGCTGGCATCTACGGTCGCATCCTTCGCGCCGCGCCAAACGCGCGCCGCCGGCAAGCTTCAGCAGGCTGGCGCGCGCGCGCCGTGTGAGCTGACCTTGTTCAGGCAGAGGATGATCGCAGCTCAGAGGTAAGCCTTGGCGAATGCGGAAGTAGCCCATCACAGTGAACGCGCGATTCGTGGGTCCGGCTTGCTCGATTCCACGAGGGCTGCCATCGCTCCTCGACGTCTGTATTGCTTTGGGTGGCACTGTTTTAGTCACGTGCGCTGGCGACAGCCATGGCGGCGTCGCCGGCGGCGCGTTGAGTCGTAATGCGGGCAGCCCTGCAACGGGCAGCAATAAGACAATGAAGTCGCCGTCGGTGGTCAGGTCGCAGTCCACGGGGCCGTGGGGCGAGAAATGCAATTCCACATTATCGCGTTTCATTGGCTTGAGCGCAACGGCTCCTGCACTTGTGCGTGGAGTTGTTGATGAGCTCCTCGAGCCGCCATTGCACCCCATGAGCTTCCTGGGTGAGATCGAGGGCCGACGCGCGCATGAATGCCTCTAGCTTATGCAGCTTGTCGCGTTGCTCCTAGCTTTGTAGCGGCAGAGGCCACGGGCATTCCATGTCACCAGATGACCACCTCCAGAAGGCACATCCAATAGATAAGGGCTCCACTGGTCGTGAAGCAGACCGCGTGGATGTATCAGCAGCGCGGTGATGCGTGGGCGATCTGCGTTGATGACCGCTCTGGCGATCCCCATCTGGTGCACCACCGCATTGCTGTCGGGGCGTTGACCGAAGGAACCCTAAATAGGGAACGAGGCCCCTTTTTCCCAGAAGTTAACCTTCGATTTCCTGTCGAACACATAAGGAAAACCTGGGGCAAGCAGTGAAGCACTTAGGGAACGCGGAGCCCCTCCCCAACGAAAAGGGTTCCTTCTTCAGGGCCCCAGCTGTATCTCATTGAAGCTGCGCGGCGGCGCTGGCAGATGCGCCGGCCTCTGGGGGGACCAGGGGCACGCCGTCGCAGGAGACGATGCCAGCGCCCGCCGCCAGCCTTCCCGAAGAAAGGGGCTGGCGTGCTTGTCGCTGGGGATGCGCACCAGCCGTTAGGTTTGAAAGTATCGCCGAAGTTGCTTCGGCGACCTATCTGCGCGGGGTGATGGGCCCGCTGGACTTGGAGTCGGAGGGGATTCGCCATTGACCACCTTCTCGTAGATGTCGTGCGAGATGTTCTGGAAGAGGCTCCTGCACCACCTAGCACTCGAAGAAGGAAGCGTGCTACTGTCACGTCACAGATTAGTTTTACGTCGTTGGTTGATTGAAACGCGTGCTGCAGCAATCCACTCTTCCAGCGTTCGCTTGATCTCTTCGGGCCAGGATGGCTGAGGGGGCACCGGCCGCGTGGAAGTGTGGGTCTGGAGGTCAAACCCATACGGCGAGCGCGGACATGCCCACAGGCTGCACGGTGGCTTCGGACATGGCGGGGGAGGCCTGCATCCGCTCAAGGGGGGGGGGGGGGGTAGTTCTAGTTGTTCTGGTTCAACAACGTGCGAGCCTGTCATCAAGTGGTGCGGCGTCCCGCCCATCGATCCTGTCCCAGTGCCATTTGAAGTTCACCATGCGAAGCAGATTCCGCACCTTGGTCGATCGATCCTGCTTTTGCTTGAAGACGAGCGGTGGTGAACTTCATCTGGCGGCGACAGACTCTTTGAGTCAATTATCGAGGCTGGCCTCCAGTCCACATGACAGTGGTGGTGGGGTAGCGCCTGGCTGAGATTCAGCAGCGGCGACAGGTGAGTCTGGTCTGGCGGCCTGTCCTGCCCACGGGCCCACTCCTGCTTGATAGCGGGGATCTGGTCTTTCTCGTTGTGGCGATGGATATGGAGCGAAGTTGTCTGAATCGTCGAGCAATGATGTTCAACGCGGCGTTACTGTCGAGCTAGACTCGCGGCGCCTCCCGATGGTCCATTACATCGATCAGGAGTTCCTGCTGTACCGCTGCGTCGATTTGGCTGTCGAGTTTCGTGACCTTGGCTTGGGTCGCGGCGCTCACGTTCACGAGGTTCTCTATGTAGTTCTCGGTCTTGTTCTCGGGCAACCGCTGTGGGAGAAACACGTCGCCGAGGTCGGTCGCTGCGGGAACCACTGAGGTCTCCTCCATCTCTGCGATGTCAACGTTGTCTGTTTTGAGGCGGATGCTTGAGGCTAGAAGCCAAGATCCTGTCGCTGCTGCTCGAGGCCATGTTGGGAAATCCTGTCGTCTTGACGCCAGGTGCAATAAGAGGCGATCGACACTGTTCACGTAGGGCGGCTGCACCATGTTGCTGCCAAGGGCGTGTCCAGGAGGGCACAGGATATGCAGGGCCGCCAACACAGCCGCACTACTCTGCAATGGGCGGCAGCTCGCGCTTGGAAGTGGTTGCGAAGACATCGGCCACTGGGGGCCGATCCCCGCTTATGCAGTTAAAAGATACGCATCCTGGCCTTGAGCTAACATATCTACGGGGGAGTAGCAGCAGGATGAGGAGCAGGAGGAGGAGGAGGAGGAGGAGGAGGAGGAGGAGGAGGAGGAGGAGGAGAATGAGGAGGAGGAGGAACAGCGGCACATCGTAGAAGCAGGAAGGGGTGGTACGAGTATGGCGAAGAACGCGGACTCGGGAGTAGGTAAGCTCTAAACTCTACGGCGCTGGTTGCAGCCTGGGCTGGCTAGGGCGGCACCACCTCACTGCTCTAGGCATTGCATTTCGCGTTTAGAAGAAACTGGGGCACAGGAGGAGGAGGAGGAGGAGGAGGAGGAGGAGACACGGGGCCTAGCAGACGTCCACCCGCTGGGCTAGAAAACGCTGACACCAAAAAAACTACTTCAACTCAACACAACTACTTGCTGCGCACCTTAAGCCGGAACATGTTTACCTGTACACGGCAGCGAGAATGGCACAGCTTGGTGAAGACCGTCCGGAGCAGCAGAGACGACTTGGTTAGGACCGCCCGAATCAGCATATACGAATTATGCAATAGGGGGCCAACGGGCAGGAACATAAGGAGCACGAGAAGAAGACGGAGGAGGAGGATAAGGAAGGACGTAAGGAAGGAAGGTGGCAGGGAGGAGGAAGGAGCATGAGAAGGAACATAATGATGTGAAACAAATAAGCAAAAGGGACTGAGGAAGGAGGAAGGAAAAGGGGAAGGACGATGCGGAGGAGAAGGAGGGAGGAAGAGAGGAGGAAAACGACGGAGGGTAATGATAATGCAAGGAGGAAGAAGGGATAATCACGGATGAGGGAGGCTGAGGGAGGAGAATCTATGGTTTCCTGGAAGTGCTCGAGGTCCTTGGAGATTTCGGGGGGCCGTCGAGAATTTCGGAGGAGTCTCAGAAGCGGACGGAACAGCGGCAAACACCGATCTCCGATCGCCGCCGCCCCCCTCCCGGGAGTGTCCCAGAGGCCTGCAGAGGCCAACAAAAAGGGCGGAAGAACGACCCGCACATCGACCACCCGTGCAAGCGAGTCCCTTCACTGAGCGCACCTGCTGAAGATCTAACAGGACAGGGCTGCTCTCAACAGACGCAACATGTATGAGTCGGAATGGTAAAACAGGGCTAAGATCGGGATAAATCGCTCCAGAGCGTTCCGGAGCGCTCTCAGAGCGTTCCGGAACGCTCTGGAGCGGCCGCGGCGCCCAGGACATCCTCCAGACCCGCCGATTCTCAGAGATTTCGAATTGTCCCGATCCGATTTTGTCCCGATCGTCGCGTCGTTTTAGATGGTCATCCCGCCCTGACCAAGCAGTCCGACAATCGCACCAACCACTGGAGAAACAGAGCGACTCTCGGAGGTCCGCGCGACTTTTCCTGGGGTCGGCGCGGCGCCTCCCCATCTTGGCGCGCGGACACGCCGCCCGAGGGGGGGGGGGGGGCCAGCGCCGCTCCCAGAAAGCCGCGCGCACCTCCCGAAGCCCATGCTCGTGCAGCAGTTGTCCTTCTCTGAAGGGGCCCAGGGACACACACAAATAGATATGCACACAAAGACAAGGATTCCCCATATTTTCTCCAACATCTTCTGGGTTTTTGTCTTCCCCCCACTTCCCATCTGTTTCCATATTTTCCTGTGGATCGACGATTAATTGTGTCTGTGTGTTTTTTTCCCTCCTGATTCTTCGGCGCGAGCATCCGAATATATCTTCGATTCCTTGCGGGCCGCAGCGATGGCGATCGCGCACCGCGTCCGTAGCCAGAGTGCGGGGCGCTGCGCTGCTGGGGCATCACCGCCGCCCCGATCGGATCAGGAGCCCCTCGGGGTCGGAAGCCCCTTGGAAACGCTCCTCAACCAAACGCCCCCCCCGCAGCGAGCCACCTCGCGTCGCCGACTCTCCCAGCGCCTCCCTGAGCTGGAGGCGCCGGTGCATCGAGGGAGGCGCCGGCGCGAGCCCGAGGCGGGAGGCCGCAGAGGAGGGGAGAGAGAAACGCCACGCTGGGCATCGCTCGGACGTCCATTCCTTGCGCCTTTTTCGGTTTCGTGCGTGGCTTTCTCGCCAGATGATCAAAAGGATGCTCCTCGAGATGGTCCTCGCCGGAACCAAAAAAATGCACACGTCCGAGCGATGCCAGGCACGCACTCGGACCGTGGAGGCCTCCGTGGGCGGACCGCACACGAGCCGGCGCGAGCCCGAGGCGGGAGGCCGCAGAGGAGGGGAGGCAGATCGGGAGCGGCAAGGAGGGGGGTGTCCAAGAGGGGGGGTGCAAATCATGACCAGCGGCATGTGCGCGGCCCAACGGGGGGGGCCAGGGACAGAATGAAATAAGAAGAGGCGCCATGAAACCTGGGGAGATATCATGCCCCCCGCCATGATATCCCCCCTCCTCCTCCTCCTCCTCCTCCTCCTCCTCCTCCTCCTCCTCCTCCTCCTCCTCCTCCTCCTCCTCCTCCTCCTCCTCCTCCTCTAGTCATCACCCCCTTCTTTTCCGCCCCCAAGCAGAGGAGGGGAGGGAGAGACGCCACGCGCTCTGACCGCGGAGGCCTCCGTGGGCAGTGCCGCGGCGCGGGCCTCGGAGCTCCGAGCCCGCGGGGCGGCGCAGGGCGCCGCAGGGCCGCCCGGGGCTCTCCGGCCGGCGAGAGGCCCGGGCCGGGCGGCGGGCCGCTGCAGGCCCACGGCCGCCGACAAGAAGGTGGGCGGGGGAGGGACTCCTCCTCCTCCTCCTCCTCCTCCTCCTCCTCCTCCTCCCTCCTCCTCCTCCTCCTCCCTCCCCTCCTCCTCCTCCCTCCTCCTCCTCCTCCTCCTCCTCCTCCTCCTCCCCCTCCTCCTCCTCCGGGCTCTCGGGGGCCGGCTCTCCGGCCGGCGGGGGCCCGGGCCGGGCGGCGGGCCGATGCAGGCCCACGGCCGCCGGCGAGGAGGTGGGCATCGCTCGGACGTCCATTCCCTGTGCTTTTTGTCGGTTTCGTGCGTGTTTTTTTTTGGCCAGATGATCAAAAGGATGCTCCTCGATCGTCCTCGCCGAAGGAAACATGCACACGTCCGAGCGATGCCAAGAGAAGGTGGGCGGGGGAGGGGCGGGAAACACAAGGTGCATACTGAGTACTACCGTCGGGGCGTGGGCCCAAGGAGCACTGAACGAGGAGCGCGGCCACTTCTGCCCACAAGTTGAGCTTCGACTTCCCAGTGAACGCCCGGGGGAAACCCGAGGCAAGCTGCGAAACAAGGAAGGAGCACGGAGCCCCTCCCCAATGAGAAGGGTCTCTTCTTCGGTGCCCCGACGGCATGCGCCCCGCCTTGGAGGCGCACGTCCGGACCGAGCAGATGGCACAAACGCCTCATACCAGATCGGCACCCGGGCGGTACCGTCGGGGCGTGGACCTAAGGAACCCAAAATAAGGAACGAGGCCCCTTTTCCCCAGAAGTTGAACTTCGACTTCCCATCGAAAACCTCCTCCTCCTCCTCCTCCCTCCTCCGCTTCCTCCCCAACTCCTAGCCCTTTCGATCAGGGTCGGCGGCACTGGCCGTCAGGCCTCTCCAATAAGGAACGAGGCCCCTTTTCTCCAGAAGTTGAACTTCGACTTCCCATCGAAAACCTAAGGAAAACCTGAGGCCAACTGTGAAACAATCAAGGAACACCGGGCCCCTCCCCAACGAAAAGTGTTCCTTCTTCAGCGCCCCGACTGTATGGCCAGAGACCGCCCGCCACCGAGCGTGTACTGGAAGACTTCTGATCGCGCGCGCCGACCCCGGGGGGCGCGACGCAGACGCAATCGATAGACCCGTGAGCTGGGCGATGCCGACGAGGGAAGGACGAGGCACGCCGCTGCTAGGGGCGAAGTCGCCTGGTCGCACGCAGAAGAGGGACGGGAGGAGGCGGAGAGAGAGAGGAGGGCGGGCGGAAGGGGGGAGAGGCGGACGGGGGAGGGCGAGGGAGGAGCCAGGAACGGCAGCGCAGGGGCTGTGGGAGCAGGTGGACGGCCACGAAGGGGGGGGGGGGGGGGCGTGGAGGGGAGCGGCGAGGAGCAGGAGGGGCGGCGGCAGGCGAAGCTGCAGCAGGAGGGGCGGCGAGGAGTGTGCGGCCAAGCGGCGCCTTGATGGCCACGTGCTCGCCCGTCTCGATGTCCGTCGCCTTCCAGCAGACGCTGGAGGCGCCCTCGCCCATGAAGTCCTCCTCGGCCATGCTCATCCTGGCAGAGAGAGGAGGGGGACGGGACGGGAGGGAGGGAGGGGGGAAGAGGGGGCTGGAGAAGAGGGGAGGGAGGGGAAAGGGAAAAGAGCGGGGGGGAGGGGAGAGGGGAAAGGAAAAGGATAGGGATATCGTGTGGATTCAAAGACCTATCTACAGTCTGCGCACCCATATGAGGTATGAACCTGCCGCAGAGCTAGGTATAACAATAGCTCGTGCCGCTTCACCCGCCCACCTCGTGTTCATGAACTTGGGAAGGAGTGGCTACTTGGTATGTGCATGAATTTGCAATGAACAAGCTGGCGTCCTGGTTTACCTGCTGGGCCCCACTTGGACCCCACGTGAAGTCAGGTGACAGCATCCGAAATCCCAGACGGCGGCCAGTCACACACGTGCAGTCCTGACACAAATAGGTCAACATCCAATTGGCAATGCCAGACACCACTGACGGAAACAGATCGTCTCGACTAGCCGCTTAGACTGCGGCAGTGACGGCGCAGAGCACGGCACGCGCAGCACATGGCTCGATACGTGCTCACACGCCTCGGCCTACACATCACAACTGAAACATCTGTGGTGCGCACATCTGCTGTCGGTGTGGACCCGGCCATCACCGCCCGCTGCTGCAACCACCCGAACCGGATCATCAGGAACGGGGTAATCCTTGAGGTACCGATGCCGCCAAGTACTCCCTGGACCTCTCCTGGGTGCGTTCTGACCAGAATTTTGAAGCAAACTCAGCGGTGGCGCCGAAAGCCTTCCAGGAGGCCCAAAGAGGGAATACAATGAACTCTGATAGCTCTGATAGTAAGAATGAGTGGCTTTCCAAGGTTGCTGTTTCATCCTTTCCCTTTGGCCAACCCTTGCCCACTTTCGTTGGCCGCGCCCCGCTCGAAGAGTGTCGGCATGGCCTTAAAAGGCCCCTGCGTACGTATCGTGCGTCCCTACTACCAAGTTCGGGAGCGGCCAAGAGGGGGGTGTCCAAGAGGGGGGGTGCAAATCATGACCGGCGGCATGTGCGCGGCCCAGCGGGGGGACCAGACGTAATGAAACAAGAAGAGGCGCCAGGACATCTGGGGAGATCTCATGGCCCCCGCCATGATATTCACCCCCCCCTAGTCATCACCCCCCTCTTGTCCGCCCCCGACACGTCTTGGCTGTAGCCGGGAAGCGAAGCGGAAGGCGGGAGCGAAGAACGACAGAGCGGGCGGAGGGTACCGTCGGGGCGCTCACCTAAGGAACCCTAAATAAGGAACGAGGCCCCTACTTTCCATAAGTTAAACTTCGATTTCCCATCGAGAACATAAGGAAAACCCGAGGCAAGCTGCGAAACACTTACCTAAGGAACGCGGAGCCCCTCCCCAACCAAAAGGGTTCCTTCTTCAGGGCCCCGACTGTACTACCAAGTCTTGGCTGTAGCTGGGAAGCGAAGCGGAAGGCGGGAGCGAAGAGCGACAGAGCGGGCGGAGGGTACCTCGCAGGGGCGCTGCGGGTGCACGGCCCAGACCGAGGGAGGCACGCGCGGGGCGGGCGCGTCTCCTGCGCTGCTGCGGGGGCGGGCAGTGGGAGGCCCAGACAGGGCTCGTTTCGATTCCTCCGATTCGATTCGATTCGGTTTCGATGGTTTCCGATTCCGATTCGATTCGACTTCGGATTCCGATTTGGGCTCCGATTTCTTATTGGAGGCACACTAGCCTGCCGATTTCCGCCGATTCGACTTCTCCCGACTCGGCTGCCGATTTCCGCCGATCCGACTCATTTCGATCGCCGATCCGACTTGTCGATTCGACTTTGGGGGCGCCGGCAGGTCCGTGCAGCGATGACGTCGACGTTGGTCTCTGACATCCCGTGGATCGTTCAGCCTTGAACGATCGCGGCTTCCAGACAGCACAGACCGATCGACATCGGCCGCTTCCGGGCCACTGGCCGCCTCCTAGCCGATGCATCGCCAGCGCATCGGCGATGCATCGGCGGTGCATCGGCGCCGTCGGCGCGGAGAAAATCGGACTCCAGCAGGGAGGCACAGAAGGAGGCCCAGAAAGATGAGATCGCCGCGCCCGCCGCGCCGCTGGCAAGCTACGGCGCCCTCTTCCGCCTCCAAGTTGTCCCCACTTTAAAGGCTGCTTGGGAGACAGCATAGTCACAGTCGGGGGCCACGCGGATCCAGATCAGACCCCGCAATCCCGGGGGGGGCTGCGAAGTGTGAGCCCGTCGCCGCATGCGAGGGCTGCCGGGGGAGAGGGGGCAGCATAGTAGGGGGCTATGCCCTCCCCCCCAGTTTCCACCACCCCCCCGCTCTTCGTGTTTAGGCGAATAATCAGCATGACTTGCCGTCGCTCGGACGTCCATTTCCAGTGCATTTTTCGATTCCGTGCGTGTTTCTTTGTTGCTCGATGGTCCAGGATGGTCCTCGATGGTTCTCGCCGAGAAGAAGTGCACATGTCCGAGCGATGCCAAGATGAGCACGCATTGTCGGAGCTCCGCGCGGATTGCCTGCTTCGGAGTTGGACGCCCCCCCCCTCGGTGCGCGGAGCTCTTCTCAGGGCGCCGCAAGGGGGCCCAGCGCCGACCCAAGAAGCACGCAGTGGACATTAGACAATGTACAGGGCAGTTTTTAAGACATAGGATTTTTTAACGTATAGGATGTTTAATCCATGATTCATTTATGAATAGCTTTATTCATGAACTCATCGTTGTTTTTAATGCTAAATCCCTGCATTTTTTAATACATGATCCGCACGCGGGGCATGTCTGAACAACGGCACTGTGTAGTTCTGCACATGTACATCCTTCGGGGAGCGCTGCGAAGTCGTCCGACGATGTGCTTCTCTTCGTGCGCGGCCCTGGGAGTCCGGGGCCCTTCCCGGGGCCATCGCCTCTCGTCCGGGGTCGACGTCGATGGCCCCGGGGCCGGAGACCGGACCCCAGAGGCCGAAGCCGACAAACAAAACAAAACTTCGCGACTCAGAGAAATCGGGTCGTCGGAGGTCTGGGTGCCCCGCTCCTCCTCCTCCTCCTCCTCCTCCTCCTCCTCCTCATCCTCCTCCTCCTCCTCCTCCTCCTCCTCCTCCTCAAACATCCGACGAACAAACAACTTCGTGACTTAGAAAAATCGGGTCGTCGGAGGTCTGGGTGCCCCGCTCCTCCTCCTCCTCCTCCTCCTCCTCAGGCATCCGACGCCGTGTTTTTTTAGACACAAGCACCCGCTGAGGTTTGGACCACTGCTCCTCAGGCAGGCTTGTGATCCCGAACCGTTTCTGCGACAATCCCAAGGCCTGACGAGAGCCCCCAGATGCCGGGCACAGTAAACCGAACGCGAGAACGTCTGCGTGCGTCCGAGACTGACAGAAATCATATCGTCGGAGATCTGGGTTCCCAGTCCCTCCTCCACCTCCTTTTCCTCCTCCTCCTCGTCCTCCAGCCAATGCCGAAAAGGGGCACGACTGAAAGAATCGCCACCTCATGGAGGAAACGGACACTCATGGACCCCCCAGAACCTCCCAGGATTCCCCAAGCCGCCCACAAGTGCCACAAACTTGCTCGATCATCAATCCTCCTGGGATCACCGCGGCGGCTGCAAGAGAGGTAGGGAGATTACAGGTGAATGCTATGGTGGCTTATATATGGCCTATAGGTTACAAGCACCGTAAGTGGCTTTGGTGGGTTCGATAGATCCACTGTGGGCGCAGCCCACTGAAGACAGATCCCGAGCCATTCAGGAAACGTCTAACATATGAACGATGTTCGACCTCCCTATCCCTTTAGCACCCCTCGCAGCCATCCAAGCCCCTCCTCCTCAACCCTCGATTCCCAAGAGGATCTGGTGACCCCCTACCCGTGACCCTCTTTGTAACGATGCCCGACGCCCCAAGCCGTCTTGACGCTGTTGTTGTCGACTGCTGCCCACCCGGACTTCCCCATCGGCGCAAACATGGCGCGGCCATCGTGGACCGCACGCTGGTGGATGTCGCGTGCGACGGCTTGCTGGCGCCTGGGCACAATCTACGAATAATTGGACGACCACAATAAAGGAAACCGTCAAGCGTGGACTTGCCAAGGTCTGTCGATCTTTAACAGTTTGTTTTCTTCTACTTCCCGGGTCTCACACGTCCTGGGCCCTCGACATGACAATAGTATCCGATCATTTGGGTACGCATGCGGCTGCCCTCGGCTTGGCTTACAACATCTATGCGTTCAGTGAGGCCTTTGCCAAAACCCTCGGCATCCTAATTCGCCTTGAAGTCGTCCACGGCCCTTCTGAGCCTGCTGAGCTGCTGACCCTTGGTCTTCAACCAAGGCTTGCTGGGCGTCGCCTCAAATTCCGAAGGCCTCCCCGACGCGGCGTACGAGGCGGAGGGCTTTCGGGTCGTGCCTACTCAGGCCTCCCCCCCCCAACGCGACTCCCGGCCAGCCACGCGTGCCCAGCCCGACCCTGCCCAAAGCCGGGGCTAGCGAAACACTAAAAGAGGGCTATGATAGGGATAAATCGCTCCAGAGCGTTCCGGAGCGCTCTCAGAGCGTTCCGGAACGCTCTGGAGCGGCCGCGGCGCCCAATACATCCTCCAAACCCGCCGATTCTCAGAGATTTCGAGTTTTCCCGATCCGATTTTGTCCCGATCTTCGCGTGCTTTTAGAAACACCCCCTTGGCACTGCCCGACGCCCCAGGCCGTCCTGTACCTCCGCATCGCAAGCCCGGGCGGGGCGCCGCAGAGCGACCCGCCGCCGGGCGTCCGTCCGCCGCTGGAGCAGGTGCTGGTGCTGTGCCTGGCGCGACGGGCGATCGGCGGCGGCGGCATCGTCGTCGCCCCTCCTCCTCCTCCTCCTCCTCCTCCTCCTCCTCCTCCTCCTCCTCCTCCTCCTCCTCCTTCTGATCTCCGACGATGCGTGTTTCTGTTCAACTGGCATTTTTTCCGTAGCAGCGTTTCGCTGGCGGGATCTAGTGCGGTGAGGGCATTGGGCGAGGAGCAAGTGGATAATCATGGGATCCAGGGAATTTGGAAGCTGGTGGAGCTCCGATCGCGGATTGGCCGCGGAGATCACAGCCGCCCTCCTCCAGGGTCTGAAGCCTCCTGGGCACATTCCTCACCGAGCGCCCCCACCGTAGCGCTTCACCAAGCGCTCTCAGAGTGGTAGTCAAAGACCACAGAAGAGTCCCCCAGGGGGGACGAGGAGCCCCAGACCGCCCAGTCCAGCAGCAAGCTCGCCTGAGACCCCCCTCACCATTTTCATTCGGGAATCGGGTTCTCGCCGTCGCGCCGGCCACATTTTTGGACCAGCCGGCCACGATCCCTGATCAAAGATACTCCAGATTTCGTAATAAAAGGGAGGGGGTCTGGACCCTCCAAGACAAGCCATTTCAGACCTCCCCCGTGGGAGAACCCTCCAAAACATCGTCCCCAGACCCCCCAGGTCCTCCAAGATAGCCTGGAAGAGACCCCCCCCGAAATGAGACCCCCCTCCCTTTATTACGAAATCTGGAGTACACCTGGGTGCGCAGGGCCGTGCTCTCACCTTTTTTGCCCCCTCTGGCCGGCCTCCTGCTCCTCGACCCACCTCGCCGCCCCTGCTGTCTGTCCTCCGGACGCGTTGCTGGGGGCATGTTTTGGTCAGCTGGCTTGTTCGACTCTGGGGCCTGTTATTGACTACCTACCAGACCACCCCAGCCCAACCCGAAGACCCGAATTTCGGGTTGGGGGGGTACAGGTTCCATGTGTTTTCTCGATGTTCCCCGACCCCCCCCCCAACTGGAAATGGAGATCAAATTGAGGCCTTCGGGTTGGGTTGGGGTGGTTTGGTGGGTGGTGAGTTATCGGACCCAGGACCATCGAAAATGCCTAGGACGAACATCGGCCTCGGGCGAGGTGATCGGGACCTCCAGGGGCCGCGGGCTGAACAACTCATACCGGCGGTCGGGGTCAGCGGCGGCGGGGGCGGCGACGGCGACATCGTCGTCGTCGTCGTCGTCGTCGTCGTCGTCGTCGTCGTCGTCGCGGGGGCGGCGACAGCGACAGCGTCGTCGTCGTCGTCGTCGTCGTCGTCGTCGCCCCGACCTGCAACCTCCAACGTGTGGAGCAGCTCAGGACGGCACTGAGCCGCCCTTCGGAGGCCGACGCTGAGCCCCATGGCTGGTCGACGGGCGAATCTCGGGATATGCGAGGCCGACCACGGGGGGACTCCCGGCAGCCCCGCGCTGGGAGCAGGAGCAGCATGCGGCGCAGAGAGGAGGAGGAGGAGGAGGAGGAGGAGGAGGAGGAGGAGGAGGAGGAGGAGGAGGAGGAGGAGGAGGAGGAGGAGGAGGAGGAGGAGGAGGAGGAGGAGGAGGAGGAGGAGGAGGAGGAGGAGGAGGGGAGAGGGGAATGGGGAATGGGAGAGGGCATGGCCAGAGGGGGATGGGAGAGGGCAGAGGGGCAGCGAGGGGGGGGAGTGGGGGAGGGGCAGAGGCAGGGGCAGGACGAGCAAGGCGGGGGGGCGCATCTTCATGCCGGCAGAGGCTGATCTGCTTGGTCGGCCCGTGGCCTTCCCGCAATGGTCCCGTGGCTGTCCCGCTATCCCGTGATGGTCCCGTGGTTGCCCCACGGTTGTTCCGTGGCTGTCCCGTAATTGAATCTCCCTTCGTCTTGCCGTGGTTGTGCAATGGTTGTCCCACGGTTCTCCTGTCCCGTGGTTGTTTCGCGGTTGCTATTCGGTTGTCCCGTGGTTGTCCCGGGGTTGCCCCGCGGTTGTCCCGTGGTCGTCCCGCGGTTATTCCGCGGTTATCCCGCGGTTCTGCTGTGGTTGTTCCGTCGCTGTCCCGTGTTTGTCCTGTGATTTTCACGTGACTGCCTCGTGGTTCCACCCCCCGCTCTACATCCTCCTCCTCCTCGTCCTGCAGGGGTCCTCTTCTTCCTCATGCTCAAATTCCTACTCTTCCTCCCCCACCTCCTCCCTCGCCTTCCGCTCCCCCTTCTCCTCCTCTTCATCCTCCTCCTCCGGGGATGCTCCTCCTTGTCCCCCGCGTCATCCTCGTCCGCACCTTGCCTCTCCTCCCTCCTCCTCCTCCTCCTCCTCCTCCTCCTCCTCCTCCTCCTACTCCTCGTCGTCCTCCTCCTCCTCCACTTCATCCTCCTCCTCACCATCATCACCATCATCACCATCATCACCATCATCACCATCATCACCATCACCATCACCATCATCATCATCATCATCATCATCATCATCATCATCATCATCATCATCATCATCATCATCATCATCAAATCATCATCATCATCATCATCATCATCATCATCATCATCATCATCATCATCATCATCATCAGCGTCGTCATCATCATCTTCAACAGTATCATCATCAGCATCATCATCAACATCGGCAGCATCAGCATCAGCATCAGCATCAGCATCAGCATCAACATCAACACCATCATCAGGCATCATCAGCATCATCAACATCATCATCATCGTCATCATCATCATCATCATCATCATCAGCATCATCATCATAATCATCATCATAAGCATCATCATCATCGTCACCGTCATCGTCATCAGCATCCTCCTCCTCCTCCTCCTCCTCATCATCATCATCAGCATCATCATCATATTTCATGACCATCATCATCCTCACCCTCATCCTCATCCTCACCCTGGTTCTCGTCCTCATCCACACTATCATCCTCATCCTCACCCTCATCCTCAACCTCACCCTCATCGTCATCCATATCCTCATCATCATCCTCATCATCCTCATCATCATCATCATCATCATCTCCATTCTCCTCTTCCTTCCCATCATCACTACCACCATAACCACCACCAGCATAATCATCATCATCATCAGCATCATCACCTCATCCTCATAATCTGATTCATAATCACCGTCATCACCATCATCATCGTCATCAGCAGCATCGTCATCATCATCATCATCATCACCTGCATCATCATCAGCAGCAGCATCATCAGCCTCAGCATCAACATCGTCATCAGCATCAGCATCAGCAGCATCATTATCATCAACAGGCATCATCATCATCAACATCAGCATCAATATCATCAACATCACCATCATCGTCATCATCATCACCATCATACTCATTGACGTGGTTGTCATGTGATTTTCACGTGACTGTCTCGTGGTTCCTTCCCCCCGCTCTACATCCTCCTCCTCCTCCTCGTCCTGCAGGGGTCCTCCTTCTCTTCTTCCTTATGCTGAAATTCCGTCTCTCCCTCCCCCTCATCCTCCTTCGCCTTCCGCTCCCCCTTCTCCTCCTCCTCTTCATCCGCCTCCTCCGCCGATGCTCCTCCTTGTTCCCCGCGTCATCCTCGTCCACATCTTGCTCCTCCTCCCTCCTCGTCCTCCTCCTCCTCCTCCTCCTCCTCCTCCTCCTCCTCCTCCTCCTCTTTCTGCTTCTCAACATCATCATCATCATCATCATCATCATCATCATCATCATCATCATCATCATCGTCGTCGTCGTCATCATCCTCATCATCATCATCATCATCATCATCCTCATCATCATCATCCTCATCATACTCATCCTCCTCAGCCTCCTCATCCTCATCCTCCTCCCCCCCTTCCTCCTCCTCCTCCTATTCCTACTCCTCCTCTATATCATCCTCCTCCTCCTCCTCATCATCATCATCCATATCCTCATCCTCACCCATCTCCTCATCATCATCCTCATCCTCATCCTCACCCTCATCCTCATCATCATCCTCATCCTCACCCTTATCCTCATTATCATCCACATCCTCATCATCAATCTCATCCTCATCATCACCCATCCTCTTCCTTCTCATCATCATCCCTATCACCACCACCACCACCATCATTATCACCATAATGATCAGCATCAGCATCAGCATCATCATCATTATCATCATCTCGTAATCGAAATCATAATCATAATGGAAATCATACTCATCACCATAACCACCATCATCATTCAAATCATCAGCAGCATCATCAGCATCAGCATCAGCAACATCAGCAACATCATCATGAGCATCAGCAGCATCAGCATCAGCAGCATCAGCAGCAGCATCAGCATCAGACATCAGACATCAGACATCATCATCATCATCATCATCATCATCATCATCATCATCATCATCATCAACATCATGATCACCATCATCATCATCATAATCTCCATCATCATCATCCTCATCATCCTCCTCATCATCATCATCATCATCATCATCATCTCCATCATCTCCATCATCATCATCATCATCATCAGCATCAGCATCATCATCATAATCATCATCATCACCATCATCATCATCATCATCATCATCATTTCCATCGTCATCATCATCATCATCATCATCATCATCATCATCATCATCAGCAGCATTATCCCCTCCCCCGGCCACTCTCTCGCCCGCCCCCCCCCTCTTCCTCCTTGGGAAGGCCCCGCGGGCTGCCCAGGAGCTCGGTTTGCTTCACGCTCTCGCTCGCCTCCTCCCGCTGGCTGTCTTCAACCACCACCGGAGGAGGGAGCTCGCCAGACCCCCAACGTCATGACTTGTTCCTGAGGTGGACCCCGAGCGGTCTGGACCCATTCCCCGGGACCCTGTTTTCACTCCGAGTCGTGCTTTCACGGTCCGAATGGCCGGTCAGTGCCCACAGAGGCTGAACCTGCAGCAACACCTTCTGTCATGATTTGTCCATCACGAATGCGACTGCGACTGCGAGAACAACAGAATTCTACAACTGGATTCTCACCTGAATCTTAAGGGGAATGCTTCCAGATATGCTTATACACATCGCCG